TCGATATAACAGTGATTTGTTTGCGCGACGTGCACTCTTAATTCGCAGTGATTAGACATTATTCTGGCAAAATCGGAATACGACAATACATTCGTCGCTAGTTTATGATAAATAAAGGAGTATCAATATATGGTTTCACTTTGATTTCCTTTGAAGTCTGTGTAGAAAATGAAAAAAAAGTTTTCATCAGCTTAGGTAGACTCATAATTAAATTATTGAGTTGTCCGGAAAGTTCGTGCCGCAAAAGATTTAAATTTAATAAATGAAATTAAAAATTTAAATCTTCTGCGTTTCAATTTTCCTTCAAAATCGGCATGAATTTTCCGGACAACCCAATATAATCATAGGACATCACCAAGTAAAAGAAAGTCAAAATAACTTTAATTTTGTTTAACTTGACTTTATTTTAACGTCATGCAAGTCAAATTGATATAATGATAATTTTTGATTACAAAATTTGATTGTTTATTGACCTTTTGTTAAGAATTTTTTATTCTTAAAAAAAAATTATCTTTTATCAATTCTATTTCTGTTTTACTTGATAATGAAGAAAAATACGTTGCAAGTGCGTAGACGCAATTTATTGATGAATCCGAAAAAGACGCATGTTCAGTACTCGCGTTAACTGAAATGACATTCGAGAAAAAAACCGAACGAGATTTCTCATTCGGACTTCTGATCGATAAGTGAAGAGAGAAGAGGCTTTGCCACACACTAATAATACAGAGCCGCTTCGAATCTGATACAGAGAGAATTGGTGAAAGCTGGGGAAATTGAAAAATAGCGAAGAAAGGTCAGAACGACTGTTAGGAAAGCTTGACGCATCGATATTGTTGGAAATTAGATGGAAAGTAATTCAATCGTAAACATATCGTGCACGATAAGACACAATACATATTCCACATGTACAAAGTAATATTGCAAAATATTTAAACGTTGTCATGCATTAAGCATACGCCAGCGTTGACATCGCAACGTTTCCCGATGATAGTAGATTAGGTAGTTACGAAAGAGTAGAAACCGGGTGGTTTATATATCATGAAGTTATAAAAAATGAAAGCTGATCGCGTGCGCCATCATTCTTCGTCGTTGAATATTGCACATCGCTCACTTATTAGTACCTTATCGTTAATTGTCGCCAACGATTACGAACACTTATGATGCTGTTGTCTTCTCTACCTCGGAAGAGAATCTCAGTCGTTCCTGATGTGGACGAGCTTACGAACGATTTTGCGAATGTGACAAGGTCGCGATATGGCGGGCATACTTTTGCACAATTTTCTTCGGTATATACGAAATGGTGAGTCGATTAGAGAAAGAGAGAGGGGGGGAGGGAGGGAGGGAAAGAGAGACAGAAGACACATCGTTTTATTTTGCGCTCTATAGGAATAAATTTTCCTAAACCATATTCTTTGAAATAAAAATACAAAAAATGTGCAGAGAAACTGAAAAAGAGTAACAGAGAATGAAACGGAGAGAAAGAGAAAAAGAAAGAAGCAGAGAGTTCATTTTATTTCGCGATCTATAGGAATAAATTCTTCTGAAGCGTATTCTTAAAAAATACAGAAACATGCATGTAAAATAGAGAAAGTGTAAGAGAGTGTGTGAGAGAGAGAGAGAGAGAGAGAGAGAGAGAGAGAGAGAAAGATTAAAGAAACAGCGCAATTAATTAGCGAGTTTAATGTTTGTGGAAGATTCAAGCGAGGCGATTCTATCTGGTCAATCGTTGAGAGAATGTTCCTTCGATTTACGACCAAAGATTTCTTGAATAGGTCAGATAAATCTAGGACGGGTTCATAAGATTGTAATAACACACTTTGCGCTCACAATCAGTTAATGTGATGATCTCAGATGACTCTCGAGGTGTAATAGTTCGTTTAAATCAGTAATCAGAAGTCAGCGCTTAGAAATCGCATAAATCAACGATATATATAGGATTCTTTTAAACATTTTAGCTTATATCGTAAATACTCGCAATGTGGAAATACTTAATATACACTAAGAAACAGATTAATTCTTAATAAATACGTAGAAAATATATTTTTTATTTAGAATATGTGTAGGTTATAAAAATTGTAGCTTTTTGATGATATTGGAGATACTTTAATATATTTCTTATATTACTAACTACTATATTATTTTTGAACTATTCAATGAGGAAAGATTTGCGTCCTTGAGCGGTTTAATGTCAATTAATATCTCTCGTTTAATATCAATTAACAGAAGCGCTCTTTATCATTACAGGTGTAAATCGTCACAAGATGGCTTCCAATGAAGACGGCGATTTGATTGATCTTGGAAACGATGTATGTGTGTCGCGGATTACTGTGGATGATGCGACACCCGAAGAACAAGAGCATCTGTTGGACGTGTGTCCTCCGAAACTGGAGCAGAAACTCTCCCTCACCAAGCAGCAAGAGCGGGTGCTGAACAGCACCGATAATGGTGATATCCTGGTAACCTTGGGTCACGATCAAGTGGTACCTATTCGCAAAAGGATCGACGTGGTCTCATCGGACACGATCAAGCGGGTACGTGATATTACTAGGAATCTAGAACCTGTGATACACAGGACTTGTTCGGGCATTAACGAAGAAACTCAGCAGGACACAGTGGATTACGCGACGATATCGAGCTGCGAAAGAACGAGAGAAACTTCGACATTGAGGCATGAGGATGAAACGTATGAGACGCGGGAGATAAACAATGCTTTTGATTTCCTCACTGAGCACGACGACAACGAAGACCAAGTAGAGATGAGCTGCTCCGACCGCGCAAGGAACGAGAACATCGATTCGCATTGCATGATATCTCCTGTGAGTCTCTTGATTGGAGGGGAAGAAGACAGGGTCAATTACCCCTTTGAGTCGTCCAGGATCTCGAATGAGGAAGCGAACGGTAGAAGCGACGTGGAAGAGACGAAAGCCGTCACGCCAAGTGAGTACGATGCTCAGCCGGACGATTCGGTCTATGAATCTCCGCCAAATTCAAACAAGTTTCGCGAGGATAACTCGCCCAAAGACAGAATCGTTTCTATCGATTCGGAATCTCGCATGAGAGTCGTTCTTAAGAGACGCGGAGAGGAAAATGTTGCCTTGGAGCGCGGAAGCAAAAGGCGTTCCTTTCAAGAGTTTCATCGTAAATCGTGGACAGAAGGGGCAAACCTAAACTCGGCTTTTACCGATGGGCTTCCTGGTATCGATAGATCCATCAGTCTCAAGGAATATCGCTGCGGACCGTCGATTTCCAATTGTGGGACCAGCTTTCTCACGAGGTATGATTGTTGTCGTTATATTTTCATACTTTTCTCACGCAAAGAGTTTATGTATGAAAAGATTTTGTTGAAATATCTAAAAATTCAGGTAAAATATAGATCTGAAAATAATTTTGTTTGGATTATTAAAATGATTATGCAGGATGCTCAAATTGATTGTTAAAATGTTAAAACTTTTTGTTGGATTGCCATTAATGCTTAAATGTTTTATATAATGATTTTGATGATACAGTAAAATTATTTTCAGATTTGTATCTTGTAAATTTTATTTCAGCAAATCTGTTTTTAATTAAAAAAATTGTTTTTTCTGTGTGCTTTCAATAAAAAAAAGAACGAAATTGCTAAACAAACTTTTTTGAAAGGATTATATAAAATGTTCTGTAAATTAATAATTTTTTAAAATAGATATTAAAACTCTGAAAATTATTCATAGACACAAAAGAATATTCCTAATGCAACTTTTGTAATTATTGAAAATTAAAGAAAAATTAAATAAAGGTGGTACTAAATTTTGTGACAAATAAAAATTCGAAATTTTCGAAAAATTCGGTTTTGAAAATTCGACAAATTTGATTGTTTAATTTCTCTCATTAATTCGAGAAAGTAAACGAGAGAAAGTAAACGAATATTTTAATCAAAATTTATAAAATCGTATTTTTTAATTCTTCATTACGAAGATATTGCAATGTTTTTGAAAGAAGTTCTTTTTTGACTTCTCGTTCGGCTAAAATCTCATCTGTCTTTGTAGCAACTTCTCACGATGAATTCATATCAGTAAACCAACTTAGATATAAGAATTCGCGTAGGTAGACTTGAATGCATCGGCAGGAAAGCGCACTTTCGTGCCGGAAGTATTTACATAGGCCTAAGCCTAACGAGCGTGCAAACTGTTTCAATTCAGACTTGCTCGATGTGCACATGATGCTTTAGCGACGAGATGAGAAACGACGTGCGACGCGGGAGTCGATCTCACGAAGTCGATCGAAAGACACTGACAATGAAAATGCAGATCTTCTTTGACGATCGCGAGTGCATTACGTATGCCCTACCTTTCAAGCTGTTAGCATAAGTGTAAGCTCGAGAATTTTAGAGAGCCGCTTTTAACTGGCAGATCTTTACTTGTAAATATCAAAGAAGCAATAGCAATCCAATCTTTGAATTAAATAATATTTATTATTTTTAGTTTTCATTCATGTATGTCAAAACATAAATCAATCCATTTCTATATAATGTCATAAATGTCGTTTATATTAGCATACACATTTGATAAATAATAAAATAAATTTGTATCAAATTTTTATTATTTCTTGAAGTAAATTGTTTAATTTCATTATTTTAGTAAAATCAATGACATTAGATATCAATTAGATAAGAGCAATGGCGATTTATAGAACTGATTAAAAATAACTCAAACAAATAACTCAAAAAAAGACGTTATAAATAACAATTTCAAATAGTTGTCACTTGGAATATCACAACATTCGTTAAAAATCACTCTCGATTTTTACATTAAAAGTTTCACGTTGGATACAATTGCGCACATTCAAGCGCAATATTTTCCTTTCCTTTTTTTTAATTAAAAATTTGAGAGCCAAGAAACTTCTTAAATTCCAGAAATTTACTCTCTCTGGAGATAGTGAAACTTTCTAACTGCTGGATCAAAGCGATAGTGTGCATATTCGGAATCTAAACGCAAATGCGTTGCTCTCACTTGAAAAAGAAAAAAATCATCACGGTCAAATCGTATAGGTAAATGACATCGTATAAGTATGCATTTTCATGATGATTTCGTGATATGGTGTCGCGAGGCAAGTATTCACGTAAGCACGCGGACATGATAAATTAAGCCCCGTTTCGAATTGAACGAAACGCTTCAGAGGGATGGTATATTACGTATGACATGTGAAAGCGGAAAATTCTGGTCCTCGCGTACCGCAACAACATATATTATACGAAACGATGAATTAACGATAAATATACCGATATAAGAAGAAAAATAATCGTATTTTTATAGCACTTTAGTTTCTAGAGAGTCGTCGAATTTTTTTTAAATCACCAAAATTTTTCTAAACTGAAAATGTTTAATCAGATGCCAAATCGACATTGATTTTGAGATGTTAAAATATACAGATAGAATTTTTCTGTTGTATTATATAAATCAAGTATTTATGTTAATATTTTGGAATCGCTGATTATGAAATTGAAATTAAAATTACGAATTTATAAAATAACGGATTTAACATCGTCAAGAAAATAATTTCTACATATCTGCATTGATTTGTACTTGATTTATATTTATCGGTTTTCCAGATGATTATGAAGTTGTGAGATCGTAAAATTTAAAATAACGAATCGAGTGTGAACTAAATTTGAAACGAATAAATAAATGTTCATAAATTTTGCATAAATTAAATTTTAATATTTTAGTCATTCATGTTGGATTTGCTATTTTTAAATGTGTCATCTTATAGATTTGTGTTTAAAATTTGTAATTAGCGAAAAACTCCAAAAATTTATAAACTTTAGAGCAGAACACTACCTATCAATAAAAATAATCTGTAGCTTAATAATATATTTAACCATTTTTAATTTTATGATCTTCCTGTCAGATTTGTAATTAATAACTTTAAAACTTCTTGAATTTTGAAAAGGATATTTTCTTTTTATTATCAGAGACATATTATAACTTATTATGGCTTTGCAGATCTCTAAAGGTTAAGCCATATATTTCCGCTCCTATTTCATTACGAAATAATACATGAGAATGAAATATCGTTATCTTTGGTAACGAATGAAGAAGCTACTATTATCGTCTACTTTTTCTCGCGGATTGGATTATTTACTAATCACCATCACCCTATAACGTACCTGTAATTCTCCGTAATTCTCTTCCGTTTGCTCGTTAACGCCGCGTTCCAGGAGCAATTCAACCTCCGCAACAATAGCGAAACAGCGGCTTTTGTTTCACGCGTAGGAAATAATTAATAACAATAGTGGTGCGGTACTGATACCGCTCAAAGAGATCTTTGTCGCCCATTACAATACGACTGCGATATTGCCATGTGATATGAGCGAGTCAAGAACGAGCACGACCGTGTTTAGAAAGTCATTTCTCGGATTAATTCGCGAATAAAGTCGCGTCTTTGGCATCTTAAAGCCTTAAATATAGTATATTTTATTATATCTCTCTTTATCTTATTTTTGTACTTATCCACCTTGTCTTACAAGTTGCACCTCCGCCAAGCAATAAAAAGCATTATAGCAATTGGAACAAGGAATAAGAAATTTCAATTTATCAAAAATGGTGTATATCAGGATGCACGGTTTCTAAGTTGAAATCTCTTTATTATCCTGTTCCTATTGCTTGTAGTTTTAATTGTGTTTAAAGCTTAATGCTTATCGGAGATGAAATTTGTAGAACAAAGTGGTACAATACAAAGATAAAGAGACACACAATAAAATATAAAAGAATAAGTAGAAAAGAAATAGGTCTTCTTCTTTTGAAAAGGATAAGAAATCTACGAGCGGAAAATTCATTTAGTGAAAACACAAAGATTTTTATGTCACGACTCATCTCTGACTTTCGAAATAAATTCGTACGTACATATACGAAATATGTACGAAATATACATATAAATTAGAACGTGGATAAGATAACAAAGATTCTTAATATTCATCGTTCTAATTTTAGAATTGTTTTAAATAATGCCCTCCATTGTTAAATTCATATATTTATAATGTCAAATATATTCACGATTTGAGTTATTTTTAATCATTTTTAAAGGTCGTCTCTATTCAATACGTCATTAATTTAATTGAAATAATAGAATAAACAGTTAAATTCAATGCTCCTTGTTGTTTATTATTATTTTGATTTAAGATTATTATTTTGAATTAAGATGTATTAAATTTGATCTCAAATTTTGTTTATTATTTATTAAGTGAATACGTTAATTGAACATTGTTTACTTCGTAACTTTACTACGTTAATTAACGACAGAAATGGATTGATTTACACTGACGCACATGGAAGTTAAAAATAACAAAATGTAACTTTTTTTAACTCAAGAGATTGGATTACTCTTCCCCTTTAATATCTAACAATGTAAAATGCTATATAGTTCTGTAATTGATTTATGTTTTATCTGCAGACTGATCTTAAAACGATATTACATAAATATAAGATTTTAAATATTGTTAATATTTACATCAAGTTTTCGGTTTAAAAAATGCATTTAAACTACAGTTCAGTTCATAATTATAATTACAAGACAGATTTATTGCGCTGTTAACATCATGTTTAAATAATCGTGTTTTTAAACGTGTCGTGTATTTAAACAACATGTTTAAATAATCGTGTTTTGTTTGAAAATCTGAGTTCAACTTTATTTTATTTTTTTTAATTTTAAATTCTGTTTTGCCAATTACGACGTAAAATTGTATCAGCGATAATGATTTTGTACGAAAATATATTTTGTTGGGCCACTGAAGGGTCGACATAGCGGCTATATTGTTATCGATAGGCAGACTCGCTGGGAAAGGGCACGACGTTTAGAAAGTCGGTCCGCTGATTGATACGCGACCGCCGCGGGCGCTGCGAAAGCAGTCGGGTCATCGAGCGCACGAACGTTATGCGGCCTCACCTCTCTCGCAGACATGCGGGATTTGAACAACAAATTTCAGTTGTTATATTGGCGAAATACTTCCCACGCGCGACTCACATACAATAAGGTGAGAGCCGCGCCATGTCGGTCGGACATTACGCATCCGGAAAGCCACGTCGCAGTTATGCGCACTGCACTTTGTGACGAAATCCCTCAATGCCTCGCTGCATGTCCACGATGCGAAGCAGTTTTTAAATGAAAAAAATCTACGATTCACAGTGCAGAGAAACTCAGAATTAACTCAGTGAGATTGGTGGGATAGAAAAAAATTTAATAATTAAGGTGTTGCGTAAATCGCCATAGAATTTGCTTACACTGAGAAAAAAATATAGTTAATTTTAATAAATATTTAGTTCAATACAACTAAACATTTAGTTATAGTAAGTAAATATTTGTTCAATAAAAAAATGATTGTTAAATCAAATTAATATTTCTTGTATCAAATAAATATATCTTTATATTTAATAAATATTTAGTTGGCAGTATTCAATTAAATATTTATTAAAATTAACTATATTTTTTGACTATGTTTTTTTTCAGTGTACGGATGTTTAGAGTGCGAAATCACGTTTGTTTGCATATCTTTGCACTTTTTTATCTCGTAAAAAATAATTTAAATTACATTTTTCGGCAATTTTCGGGCGATGCTAAGATATCAGAAAATATTAAGCTTCCACAGCACGTAATATTTTTAAATAAATAATTTACTAAATCCAAAGTCTTATTGCTAGAGATTCTGAATTACTACGTGCTTTCTGCATCCAACTGACCAAATTAGATATAAGAATATAGAGAAAAGAAAGTAGAATAGGTAAAGATTATAGTCTAAATTTTTTGCTTAAACAAAGAGAATCAATTCTACAAAAATATGCTATTTGTAGAGAAAATTG